ACAGCCACCTTCAATACAAATAATTTTGTATCAACTTTTCTTTTCATTATTTTAAATCCATAAATGAGCAAAAGATTTCGAGTGATTAACCACTCATAGGTAATATACAAACTTATTAACTATTCGATAAATATATTATTGTTAGTCAGTGAAATCGAATGGATTTAATATTGAATTACATACACTGTAAAAATCTAAACAAAACCCTTACATATTGAAATATAGTAAATATTATTTATAATAATTCATTTATTTTTCTATAATAAATTAATCTTCCAAGAAATAACAAAATGACGATTTCATGGTTTTCAGACATTTATGAACATTTATGATTGTCTTAGAAAACAATAGAATAACAAGGTCATTTAGCCATTGAATTGACATAAACGACTGTACGACGCTCTCTCCTCCTGCTCTACTTCATAATTCATATTTCAAATATTTAATGGATTTCATATAAAGCAAAAATAATCTGTAAATAAAAAGAAGTACGAATTAATATTTTGTAGTTATACTAGCATGAATAAATATAAAAAAATCATCACAGGGCTTAGTTTTTATATTCACAATGTATCATAGTGTCACTCTTTTTTCTTAGTTGCTTGAATAAAACGATCATGAACAACACAACTTATAGCTGAAAGACCGACAAAAAAATAACCAAATCCACGACGAAAAAGATTTTTATATAACCAACCAACACCAGGTATTCCATCGATCATATCTGCAAATGACCTAAAATATTAGAGATTATTAAATTTATGAAATAAAAATTCAAATAATAACAGCAAACGAACCACATTTCTTCATGTCGAAATATTTCAAATTGTGGTTCATCAATATTTTGACTATTTATTAAACGAAATTCATAAACAAATATTGAACGTAATGGATATGTATAAATCCATGAAAATTGTTGTAAATTCATGATACCATCAACAATACAACGTCCTGTAATTCCATCATCATTTAATTTAACATTTAATTGGAAGGTATCGAATGTAAAATGAAACATATTATGAAAACCTATAAAAATTAAATTTAAAAAATAAAGATTTAAATGAATTACCCTTCATTCCAATTCTATAGAGTTGTTTATTGCCACCTTCTTGCCATGGATCTTTAAAAATAATATCATCAGCAATATAAGGTAGTAGTTGTCGATCGAGTAAAGCACCAGGTACACTTGTTGTATATAATAATTGTGTAATAGTAGTAAATTGACGTTCTAATTGACTGATAAGTTTTGTTTGACTTGCAGAATTTTTCGATCGAAATGCTATACTTTCAGACATTTTAAAGATAAAAATAAGAACAAAGTTTAATTTTTTATTTTATTTTACATATAGAAAATTAGTATTGGAGATTTCATGATCAAATAATAATGAATACAAGGCTTGACCGTCTTTATTTTTTGTCAATGCATGACATCTGTTGATAATTCAATCCTTCGTGAATTCATTCATTATAAATATTATTAAAAAATTTATTCTATTTATTTGTCACTTAATCAATAGAAGAGTGTTCGTTGAATTCATACAAATAATATGTTTATTCAATGTCATGCGTTAAAAAGAAATTATTTCTAGTTGATTAGATCAACTTATAAATTTTTTACACTATGGTAAAAAAGACAATGAACTCAACTCTTTATTACATTTATATTAAAAAGAAAACTATCGTGTATTATAACGCATCAATTGATGATGCGTAATATAGTATATTCAATGTTATTGATGCGTATTTTTATAAATATGAAATTGCTATTAATTTATTCTCATCTATATATTATCATTGATACATACAACAAAAAAAATAATAAAGTGTTATAAAATTTTACAATCTCTTATTTGATATCGATACAAAATTTATGATCTATGTAGTACATTAGTCGATGTTAGGCTTTGGTGTTTTGTTGATAAGTTTATCTCTATTCATTGATATTTAGTATCCATGTCACGTTTCTTCATTATCGTTCTGATAGTACGCATAATTGATGAATCAACCAACTAATATGTTTTCTCAAGGACAGCGAGAAGGTTTTTATCATCGTTATCGGATAATTTCTCTATCAATTAATGAACAAGTCGATGTCTTTCATTGTCATTAGATAGTTCCTTTTTTGGCTTTTAATGATCTACGTAAAACGTCAATGACATACACATCATGATGAATGTTTATATTATCGAAAACATATTTATCGCTGGGTAAAAGAGAAAAGAAAAAGAAGAAATGGTACGATCTTGAAATAAATTCTGAACATCTTGTTAGACGAGCAAAAAAAAAAAAGTTTCAATAGAAAGAAAAAAGAAACCCTTCAAATTTTGAAGTATAGTAAAATAAAATGCATCTTATGTGTATGTGCATGCATGATGATGTTTGTCTTTCATCACCTTTTCTTCCCGTATATAGATTTCAATACTGATGACATGTTTCAATCAAAAGTGTACATGTACACCTGAAGCAAGAATATTATTCTACCAATCATCAAACCTTCTTATAAGTATGTATGGATATATGTGTTCCGTACACATATGAAGGAAAGCAATTGAGATTAAAACGTATAGTAAATGTATGTTATGAAAAAAAAGAAAAATTGTTAGCAGACAAAAATTTGAATTCTTTATTTATTTTTAGACATTATTAAAATAAGAAATAATATTTCATCTTTATTCCTTTTTTTTTCTCTTATCTATCAAATTCAAATATTGCCCTAAGGTTTAATACAAAAACTAACAAATTAGATCATTATCATATGTATACCTATTCAATTTGATGCATATAACCGCCATCGGCTTCCAACACGTATTCGTTAGTTTTATTATTATTATTATTAGTGCCCTCGCGCATCAGTCACTGTTCTTGACAAAGAAGATATCATTATCATTCTTAATATACCCACGCACGCATACATACACACACACACACACACATACGCATACATATTCATTCAGAGCGCGTACGATTATAGGTTCTTTTGGCATGCGTACAAATTGGAAAATGCTGTGCGAAGCATCATATGTAATGTCTGATAAGACGTGTATGATTGCCGGACAATGGTAGTAGTGTAAACGAGCACCGTATGTAGTATTGTATGAATGAAGTAGTTTTAAAACAAAACAAAAAGATGAAGATAGAAATAAAGAACATATATCTATAAATATTTATGTATATAAAGCACGAGAGCAAACGAAACGGACGGTAAATTAAAAAAGAAGAAGAAAGAAGAATTGAAAACGAACTTAAATATATTGTGGAATTAAACTGCTATTCGATGATGATGATAATGAAAATGTACGACGTGTAAATGTATCTGCTATAGGAGATAATATAGATGGATAAATCTGTTGATTTTGTTGTTGAAAAACATCACCAGTATCGTAAGAAAGTAAAGCTTGATTAAGTTCTTCAAATGAAAAAGGAAATTTTGACGAATTATGAGATTGATCTGAATATGTTGTATAATCACTGTTCATACGATTTCTATATGTATATAAATATATATATATAGAGAGAGAAAAAGATTCGTTTTTTTTTTATAATTAAAATTATGTTAAATAAATACCTTGCTGTTGATTTTTGTGGTGATTGAGTTGTTCGTACATCGGAATGTCGTCGTAAAGTTGATGAATCATCTGTGTCTAGTGCTGTTCGTGCTTCATGAGTATCATGAATGAAATGACATCGAGGTCCATATGGACAATAACCAGCTAGAAATTATTTTGAAAAACGATTCATTTTTAATAATAAGCAATAAATTTATTATTTACTTGTATGAAATGTACGACAATATTCTGTTTTATATTTTGGATGGCGCATCAAAATTCTTAATTCTTTTATTCCATGTGAAAATTGGCATTTATCGCCATATTTGCATTTACCAGTTTCTGTAAATGGTCGACATAATTCTGTTTTATACCGTGTAACACATACATGCGATTGTGTTATTGATGTTTTAGCAGTTGGTGTTGATGGTATTCTCATTGGTTGATGTTGTTGTTGTTGTTGTACTATATCAGTTATTGGTACTCGTGGAGATGATAGAGAAGATGTTGATGATCCTGATGATGAATAACAAGATGAATTTGAATCCATGCTTGGCATTGCTATTTATATCTCAAAGGAATCAAGATTATTAATAGTTACATATGTATTTTTTTTATTTTCATATAAAAAAAAACTTTAAAGGAAAAAAAAACAAGAACGAATGCACAACGAAGCGTGTTGTAAGATGAGAAGATGTAAAATGTGTGTGTGTGTAGAATGTAGATATTATTATGCGTGCATAGCGTATAGTAGTAGTTGAGAGAAGAGAATACCAAAGACAAAGAGAGAGAGAGAGAGAGAGAGAGAGAGAAGGAGAGAGAACAGAACAGATCGAGTAAACGTCATAGCGAAGACAGCATAAAAGGAATGGAACGAAAGGAAGAAGGGTAAAGAGCAATAGTTTGCAACAGCGAAACTTCATGATTAGTGTATAAATGGGCACTTTCTCTCTTTCTCGCGCTTTTTCATGCCGGTTTTTTTTACAGAATCTAAAGGAGAAGAAGAAGGAGAAACGAAAATAATGAAGATGAGATGAAAATATACAGTAGTATCCATTTCGAATACAAAGATGTGTGTAAAATTTATTTCTTTTTTCTTTCTGTTATTTTTTTTTGCAGGCATCGGTCAACAATCTTTTTTTTTTCTTTTTGCTATTACCGATCTTTATCAGATTTTACATTCTTATGACCGGAAGCAACGAGTGTCATGCTGCGCTATTCACTCAGTACTACTTAGTATTCGTCTTTGTTTCGATTAGTATTGAGTGCATTTACACAACATTTATAAGAGACCGACGGGTTTTTTTTTAAAACAAAGTTCACTTATATTTTAGATTCTTTTTTTCTTTTTTTTCTCGTTCTTTCCCACTGACTGTGTGTATATGTCAAAAAAAAAGTAAAGAAAAAGAAAAAAAAATAGTATGTATGTATGAAGTCATAATGGTGTAATTACAAT